AATTCGAAATTTCATTAAAACAAGAGTGTATCGTCTCCTATCGGATCTTATAATAGGATGCCATTAACGAAGATCAAGGTGTACTCTCAACGCGAATAAGAATCTCTCAGTCAATTCTCTTTGCTTAATTCACTCGATCTACTGATACCATCCTTCTCCGTCTAATTAGTATTCTCTTTTAGATCTTATAATTAGCTATGGGACTCAAAGAATTCTCAACAATGCAAGAGAAAGTTTATTCTGTACGCAAGTTTGCTTAATTATTTCAAACAAAAATACCAATCGATAATTATTGTAACTTTTCTCTCCCTTTTTCTCTCGCGCATATACCTATATATATATATATATATATCGTCTGAGATTTTCGACTGTATATAGAATTCATGCGCCATTCACCGCCGCATAATAAACGGGCCGTTATAGCTACTCGCGTATTATAATCAAAGATGCGAGGGAGCCCCAACAAATTTCATTCGGGACCCGTTTCCGACGCGCTATCGCGATAATTGCGGCTCGTCGACAAAGATCAGGCATCGGCACTAAAATGAGCATAAAACCACGCGAAAGGTCTTTCGCGTCCGCTTAATTTGCAAGGCATTAACCTTATTATTATGGCGGTAATACGGCCGCGGAGTTTGCCGGGAACACAACGTGGACGCGGAGGTTGCACGCGAGCAATCTTTACAGCCCTTCTCGGAAATGAAAAGTCGTGTGGCCCCTCGACAGCGAGCGCACGACACTCGTTCCTCATTTTTTCTCCTTCTTCATGAACCCGGAGTCCCTCCTTTTTTTCCTCCCCTTCTCTCCTGCCACTCAACACGCTTCCTCTTTTTCTGAGTTTCTCTGCTCGCCCTGACTGCATGTTAAGCGCTATTTTTACGGCAACGGGTGGCAGAGATTGCTTCATTCGTAACCATCAACGCGATGCGAGTTCTTCATAAGGCGCCTTTGTCATTTCCTTTTTAATTGTCCGCCGTCATCAGAACGTTTTATGTTTAAATAAAAAAAATTTACAGTTCTTATACGTACGTAATATTTTTCACGTTTGAATGACTATGTAAAACTCAGTGTTACTTCTTCTTATTAATTTTTGAAGTTACCCACGTAATTATTTCTTTGACATTAGCGGGTATTTAATTTTTGCATACAGGTATTATACCAGGTTTGAATTGTCATTTAATTTGGATTCAATCCATTGGATTTTACGAGGCAAAATTGTTTAATTTTTGTAACGATAATTCGATGTTTGAATACCGGCTCTATTTCGTCGTCATCGGTATATCTATCACGGCAATAATTATATCTTGAATGGGAAACAACATGACGTAAATTCGATATCCCGAAAGACCTTGTCATGATATTACAGATAGAGATTAGATTTGCTCGCGAGTTTTCGGATGAACCTCCGTGCCAGGACAATAGCACGCGTATCAGTGCATGCTTGCATATGCGCGTACACAATGTCGTATACGCATAGTATATATGTATGTGTGAGTATGTAGATCCCACACAAGCATGCGCGCGTGCGTTAACGGGAACTTTGCCAGGATCCAATAATTGAGATCCGAAAACATTTTCCGATGAGTCGCATTATCAACGTACATAAAAGCCGAGAGCTCCATTATGCGCACTAAGACCATTCAATAGTTAATTAATTCATATTTGGCAGATTAACACCGAGTAATGCGATTTTACATTTCCCGATTTTACATTGCAGCATATCATGAAATTATTATATTGTTACAAATGAAGAATTACACGATTTACTCTATTACATTTTAATAGAATATATGTATGTATATAAATTAGAGAGTATATACATATAATCTATAATTAAATATAATTGTAGATTGTATGTTTAAATTTACAATACAATAGTAAAGATATCTCGAGTACTTATTACGTGGAAAATTCTTTTGATCCAAGTCTAAAGTGACTTAAAATCTTCTAATTGCATAAAGAATCGTCTCTGCATTAAAAATCAATTTTCTCCTATATATTCAGACTGGACTGAATAATCATTCCCTTTCTCTCACATGCGAGAAGATTTCTCAAGTGTACGAGGTTTCCTCGAGTGACTTAAATATGATTAATGAATATATTCTCTTCTATTAAACTCTGACGTCAAAATAATTGAAATGAATAATTGTCTAACCGAATGAATGTGAATATATACGATTCATTTTCCCGTATCTCTCTCGCATAACTTTTAATATATATTTTTCTAATAAATTCTAAAACAATTAAGAGCAAATTTAATACCGCGAAACTGTTTTGTATGGTTAAAAATATTCAAGAATATGAAATATTGAAGTACTACCCGGGATTAAAAGAAAGACCGGGAAGAATAAAAAGGATGAATGAGAGGTCGGTAGATTTCCCGTTCGTTCTCTCCTCGTGTCCCGTTGAAAGCTAGCGCTCGCGAAGAACGAGAGAGAGAGTTCCCGTAGGAGAGGACCGGTCTCTTCCTCGCCTGCGGCGGTCTAACATACCTGCGGGCGAGCGAGATTTCTTAAGCGACGAGCAACGCGCTGTTAAAATAGAAAAGCGCGCGCTCGACGGCGCGACGACGGTGCATTTGCCGGAGACTTTCTATCGGGCGAGTCGCGAGGGGACGCGGAATGATCCCACGAGGGAGAGACGAGAAGTTCCGTAAGTAGTCCGGTTACAGCTATACGCGGCCTCCGACCGACGACGACCGGGGATTTGAGAGTCTGGAAAGAGGGTCAGGTCAGGTCGACGCGCGCGCGAGAAGAACCTGGTGCGCCGCCGCCAGAAACGGACCCTGGAGCGCGGGATTAGATTGCTACAGATGGAATGCGAGAGAGAGAGAGCCTGGCCGTATCTCGAGAATGCCAATTTGATTTCGGTACGAACCGGCGGAGAAGACCCGGGACGGAAGACCGTAAAGTATACAACAAACGCAACGAGACCTAGACCGGGGCAAGAACCAGCCTCGAGTCCGATCCTCGAGTGGTTCCTTCGAGAGGGCACGTCGAAACGTTCGTAGGTATAGTACGTTACGATACATACGTAAATATTTGACAATAATTTCTGACGACTATATCTCGCGAACTTTGTTACCTCGATCGCTTTCCTAAACCGATCTAGTTTGTGTTATTATCGTGCCGATCGGTTCATTTATTGTTTGCCCTGTCGGTGAACGAAGACGCGAGCAGACTTTACGGATGAATATCGAGAGGCCATTAAAGAAAGTATAACTCGCATTCTCGGAAATCTCAGAGGGAGAACCTTACTTTTTGCCGACTTTGAAGCATGCGAAAAAGATTCGAGAAATAACGAGTTTTGAATCGCCCGTATCACCGATAAAAGAATCCCAAGAAAAGAGCATAGATACTTCTTTACTATTTTACTTTACTTCAACTGCAATACTGCTTTGCTATAGTATCGCGTAATGTAATACGAATTTTTTTCCCTTTCCGTTTTAAAGCGCAAAGGCGCGCAACATTTTTCTATCCTACAGCATGCATTTATGAATAAAATGAATGTTTTTAATAATGAAATGAGTGATTATGTTCTTCCTAATTACATATCTCTGCGCGAAAAAAAAATTTAAATCATTTACAAAAATATATAGAGTCTTCTTTATAAGATTTAATTTAAATAATAATATACATAATTGCGATATGTATTAATAAATTACAAAAATTAAATTTGCATCCGAAAACGACCGAGATAACATATTGTATACACATCCTTCGATATTACAACGGAAGTCATGTTTATGTATATATAATGCTTATGCATAGTCGAAATATGCCAACTCGCGCAACATCCTACGCGATCGGTCACCAACACAATCGCAATGGCATATCTCCGACGCATCATCCTATTTCCGTACAATTACGAGTAACATTATCTATGGAAATTGCCACTTACCCGCGCACGATGCAGTACGCGCAAGGATTAAACCCGGCGTATTCAAACCTTAATACGGACTTTAGTATAAATAGCGTACCGCGGTCTCCCTCTCTTGGCAATGGAATGGCAAATTTCGTCATTAATATAGGGAGCATAACGAAACGGGGCAAACTTTTCTCCCGAAGAAAGGGATGAGGACGCATCGCTTAAACGACGAATCGGAGAAAGAGGAAGAACGAGAGAATTATGATATGAGCCTGAGGGAGGGAAGAAGAGGAGTCGCGCGAAAACGGAACTCGAAACGAAGTCTCTTTAACCAATGGAACCGATGAAAGCGGTCCTATTAGCATTCAACATAATCTACTTGCGAGTGCATTCGAGCGGCGATATACGACGCGGAAGCTTTGCAGTTCGCGAGTGTACTCGCGTAGTCTTCGAACTGCGGCAAGGGCCACTTTGTAAGTTGTACCAACCAACCCCCCATTTGGTTGAGGCACAACTCTAACTCGCGTCGACCGAAAGTTTTGCATTGGTTTGGCGGATTTGTGATTCTAGTGCGCCTATATCTTTTCGACGAGCTCGCGTTATTCCGCCCGCAGGCTGGATGTAGGAATAACGCGGGAATTCAATGGCGTTTCGCTTCGCGAACTATTAGCTCTCTTCTTGTACCATTAATTGAATTTAGTCTAATATTCGGCTATATACAATATATATATATGTATATATACTCACGCAGCGAATATATGTATAATAATGACGAGTTGAATGCCGCGCGACCGAATGCGAGCGCGACTTTAACTTCAGTCCATTATTTCAATATAAAACGCTCGTTTCCCTTTTATCAAATACAGTTACGCGACGTGTATTAATAAATGAATGGGAATATAATGATATATAAATGCGAGGAAATGATAAATTAGTTTTCACCTAAGCTTAATGAAACATAATATAACGAGGCGCGTAATAACTGCCGATATTACATTCATGAGACCATTTTACTTCTATATATCGCGAAACGCGCGACACAACGATATATATATATATATATATATCAGGGTAATTACAACCGAGTCCATTAACGAGAGAGAAATGGGAAAACGCATAGTTTTACTACTCACCGACCACCTCGAGATAACCGATCTGGCTCTTCATGGGATCCGTATTTATCTGACACATGTACCAGCCCCGATCGGACTCTCGCACTTCCCGGATGTGAAGGAACCACGTACGATGATCGCTGTGAGAGACCGCGATCCTGTGATTCTTCGTGATCACGTGGCTCGCTATCGTCAAAATAGTCTGCGTGTCGACGCGTAACCATGCCACCTGAAATGAAAAGCGCGAAATAAATATTAAATGCGTCATTATCATTACGTGTCGCATAATATAACGGAGATTGCATGGATAGAGTTAGTCAATATTAAAATTCGCATTAATATTCGAATCGTTAATCGGATAGTCAATTCATAGTCGTTGACCGATTATCTACGGTCACCACTATAAATATATACATATATATATATATATATAGAATTGAAATAATTATTAGGTCGTCGTATGCATTTATTATATTATTAAACTGTTGTGTTACACTGTGTTCCCAAATGTGTTTCGCTCCTCCATTGTTGTTGCGAAATAAACTTATTTTTACGATCCATTATCTGTGTAAATTCATGACACGCGCGCAAATAAGTCAAAATTATAATTCTTTTTAAACTCTGTCCAATTTTACTGATAATTTCATATATACGTTTAAAATAAAGTCATATAAATTTTATATATATAAATATTTAATTGTTAATCACACGCATTAACGGTGAAATTCGCGCATTCTCGCTAAAGAAAAGAAAAGAAATTCCTCTCTTTTTCTACCCTTGCGAAATGTACGGCGCCGAGACCGACATTTTTACTTTAATTCATAAGTCTCCAGCCGACTTTTGTATTCCAGTTGAACGGGCCAGCGATTCTTTTCCCGCCGTCTACCTTTCCCCAGCGTTCGCCTTCGGATTATTCCCCCTCGGTTTCCGGTCCGTCCATATCAATTATAATTTTTCACGGCACGGTCTCTCAGCGAGGGAAATAAAATGCCGCGAGATCATCCGGAGAGAGAGACGGCCATTCTGTTATTATATTATTCCTCCAGCAGTTTAACGTTCCTTTATTCGCGAGTTATTCGCGCCACGTTCTCGTATAACGAAGTTTCCCAGATAATTACCCCCGGTTTGTTGCATACTGTTTGCGCGCCCGCTAGTCGATCGAGTAATTTATTGCAATTTAGCGAGAGCGCGAGTGTGCGCATCAAACTACGATATATGAAATATACACCGAAATATAAAATGAATTATGGCGTTAAGAAAATTACGCACGGGTCACAAAGTTCCGGCAAATTATAATTTAAATCAACACACGAACTCATCGAGAGACGAGTGCATAATGCGGGTTTATGTCCGCGCATACGTCGACTAAATCACTGCATATTTTTATTCATCATCCCGAGAGAACTCGAGCGTATATGTGTACATCTTATATACAACCGGCGAATTAATTAATTAATTAATGAAGAAAAGCTTGCCTCGCAATCGCTTATTGCGCTTTCCGTATATACTAAACAGCGGTATTCATGTATAAAGGGATAAATGTTATCGACAACTAAATAAATCGACCGAGCATATTCTTAACATTTTTCCTCTGCCACGCTATCGCATGTTTACCTCGTCCCGTGACGCTTCTCCCGAGCGTAACATTCGATTATGCGATATCGGCACGTTTCCTTTGTGAGGCGAGCTCGCGAGGGTAGGGAAAAAGAGAGAGAGATAGTCGCTTCCGGCGTTTCTTTAAAGTAATCATCTCCCTCGACCGACGAAACGCACGCCTCGGGGCGCTAAACGTCACCGGCACGTCATCCCAGAAATTATAACGTAAACGGTATATCCTGGGAATAAATGTTTTGCGCGTACTGAAATAGGCAATTCCATTATCCTGTTGCCTTTGAAGATAGGGATGCACACAGAGGTACACATAGGGATGCGCATGGCGCGTTGTATATATGCTCGGAAATGTGAACCAGCATCGCGAGAATACCTGCGTATTCGGCTCTCTGCCCGGCCGAACGTGCATAACGTTCGCAAAAAGAGGAAAAAAAAAAAAAAAAAAAAAAAAAAAAAGAAACGGAAACTTACAAACGCGACCTCCGCAGTGAATAGCTCCCTCGCATTCGCTATTGCCCGGATTTTTTCGCGAAAACCTGGCGGGAAAAAAATCAGATTTTTCTTAACGATCCGATTTATACCGTGTATATACGTACATGCAGCAGCAGGTGATGAAATCCCACATGGCGGGCCTCGGCTTGTTTGCGGATTCGCTCATTGACGGACTCGCTCGTGCGATCGCAACTTTAACAACGTTTTTTTCTCCCTCCCTCAAGCGCGAATAAATGTTACGCTGACGATACTTTGCACTATATATCGCGTATACAGAGCTCGAATATTAACCTTTTACAGTATGTGCGCGCACACTATAGAGAGTATACTATTTTATTTATCACTCCACATACGGTTGATATACGCGGCCGATGGTAAGATGTCAGCTGAAAGGGGAGCGATATTTCATCACTCGGAAAGTGTAAAAGGAAAGGCAGAAATTGCTTTCTTCGAATAGAAATTGTATGTTCCTTTAATATCAAAGTTTTTGCAAAGGCCTGCATTAAAAATTTACTCGCGAATAAAATGCTTTCCCATCTCTTCGCATTGAGTAAAAACAGAGAAGGAGAGAACAAACGCGAGTATCTCTATTCGTAGATCATTGTAGGATATGTGTTTGTGCTTTTATTTTTCCTCTTATTTTTTTTCAAACCGTCCTCTCGGTCTCGGAAACAATTTCAAACGAAATATCCAAGCGTTTACGAAGATGGAAGGAAGAGATGAAGATGGTATGATACACACGACTAATGTATATATCGCGTTAATCCGAAAGACACTCGAGAACGAAAGGATGAGAAAGCTTCATTAGCGAGCTGTCTCTCAATTCTCGATTTTAATCCTACATTCGCGTCGATTATTCGCTTAATTATCTCAGATGACACTACTACAAAGTCACCAGTGTGACGGAAAGTTCACAAAGGAGACAGAGAGAGAGGGAGAGAGATAGAGAAACCGAGAGAGAGAGAGAAGGTCCGGAACATGTGCGTCTAACACGGGCGACTCTCGGATGCAGATATCAAGCCAGGCGCTTGTAAATCTGCCAGGGACCGGTGTGAAACGCTGGGTGGTTGGATTAGGAGAGGTAGAGGTCGAGGACTGGTCGACCACCTAGTCGGAAGCATCGCCATGAACTATTGCATTTGATATCCACACCGATGAATGGAAACGTTGAGCGGCCTGTCCAGAGCGTGGGGTCCGCCATCTCTGACCACGATGAACGTGAATGCAGGTATAATGCCCCGTCGTGCTTCCGCCAACTATGATAACCAAGTATTTACGGCCGCGCTCATCTCGCACGAGTTTCTGTAATTTACGGAGACTCGGAGAACCCGGCCCGCGTCGCAAACTATGTGTCACAATCCCGCGCGTTTTTTCGCACGCGAGTTTCGCGACTTTTCTGCCGGAGCGCTGAAAAAAAATAGGCATAGCGCATGTTGTTACCGTGAATTTTACCGTACGTTCTTTAAAATCTTTCAGAATCTTTGATAAGTTTAACAATGATAACTTGCACCGGACTCGGTGCACAATTTTTTGTTACAATCGTAACTTTCTGTCTTTCAATGTTCAAGAAAGAATTTAGAGATATTTCGAATGTATGTGGAAGAAATCTCGACATTCTTATAATTTGGCAATAATATTGTTGAAAGCTGAAAAATACTGATAATTATTGCGGAATGTTTTCATTACGAGGTGAATTGCAAAATTCCAATGTTGCGGAAAATAAATGTACATAATTCTATGAAAGAAAAAACTGACAATTTTTATGTATGCAAAAAATCGAACTTTATGCGCAAAAATTGTATTCAGTTAGCTTTATTTATTTATACGATAATATTTTATTTTAACAGTTATATTTTACAAAACGATATTATTTCAGCATTATATAAAATTTTGTATAATGAGTTTTTTTCATGAATATCCAGACAGTTCTCTCGATGAAATAAAAAAAAAAAGAATATTTCATTTTCACACGTGCATAAATATCAAATAAATTTGTTTTTAAATATTTATGATCCTCCACTGTCACATATATATAAAAAAGTAAAGATCAGAGTTTTTCGAACTTTACGAAATATTCAAACGCTATCCAGAATTTTTTACGCGCATGTCGAGATATATTTTTCAAGTAGCTTTATATTTTTATTATTTATTAATATGTCAATGATATATTTTCTCTCTTCTCTTTACGGTATATACGGAACGCACCATCCATTTCGCTTTTAATGGCGCTAATAACGTCGGTGCAGCTTCCAATACAATCACATTCCCGGGAAATCTTCCGGAATGTTCTCGTACACAGACCAAAAGCGAGATCCGGCGTAACTTGTTTCGCGCGACAGCTCTCCCGACTTTTCCGACGTCCGCGACGTATTTCAGGAAACATTCGGCTCAATTTCTACTTCTCAATTTCCGGCTCGAGTCCCGTTGGCGGCCTCTCGAACTTTTTTGACAGGTCGGTCCGGACGCGAGTAAAGATTCCGAGCGACTTGGTTCGCGCGCGCGCATCATCGCGGTCTTTACGTTTCCTCCTCGAGGATCAGAGAATCTCCTGTCACGAGAGAGCCGAGATTAGACTAGACTCGTATAAGATTAATTTTCCAGGAGCGTATACGGGTGTCGCGAATGGCCGACGACGACGACAACACTTCGAAAAGGCGCGTATACGACTTTTATGACTTTACACGAGAAGTCCATCTTGGATCCGTATATCTCCCCCGCTGGTGATGGCATTCAGACTGCGTGAGGAAACCCTGAACCCCTAGCTCGAACCCCTTAAATCAAGCCCGTTGACATTTTTGATTAGCCACGACCGCAACTTCATAAATCTTCGCGATTGGGACACGGGAGCAAAGTATTACATTTCCACGTATTGTTATGTTTATTTTTTGCAATTTATTTTTAACGATTATTCCAAAATTATCGGGTGACATGTATACAAAATTCACGTGTGAATATTTGATGAATCGCTACATTTTCTCGTAAACATTACCATGACCTCGATTATGTTAGAGTATTAAAAACTTTAAAGCTTCTCTCTCTCTCTTCTCCAAGTTTTTTCCAATTAATTTTTCATACGAAGATTTAAAGAGGATAAAAAGATTTTTAAATCTTTCAACACTCAAATAT